AACAAGCCTGACTGAGATATAGGGCATATTAAACTCCCTTTAGATGTTTCTAAATTCAAAGGCTTTTGAATACGGGGTATGAGTAAACCAGTTCTTGAGGAAGAGGCCAAATGCAGACTTCAGATCTGGATCAGACACATTAAAATGAGGAATTTAAAGCAGGACCATTAAAGTTCTATCTGGTACAGTTAAGAAACATCTAATGGTCTCAGCAAAAGACAATGAGCTCTACATTACAAAATTTCTTCATCAACAGGCCAGGAAAGCATTTGTCATAAATTATTTGCGTATATGTAATGCAGCCCAGGAACAGCAGTATGGATTAGATGATAATCCTGAGATTTCTTTCCAAGTTTTGCTATATGAGCTACATATTATTTCATCTTAACTATCTGAGAACAATGTTTGGAAATAAAGAAAAACTGTCTGCCTTCTGCAGTTGTAAACCTTGCCTAATCACTATTCTTTTGTGTAATGGGCACAAAGGCAGAAGCAGAGGAAAATTTCCGATTTCCAGGTAAAATCCTCAGTTTTTGAGTTTGAAAGGCCTTCCTAGAAATTCCAAGTAATTGCAGTAACATTTGTTACAGGCCAGTATCAAAACAGAACATTTCAACTTGCTAAACTGACCTTTATCTCCAATCTGTAAAAATTTCCAAGCACTCATCTTTGCTATTCCATGTATCTGGCATAGAAGAGACAGAACTTACAGTGATGCAGCTTTTCAGGAATCTCTGGAAATGGGTTTGACAGTCTTAGTCTAAAATTAAGCAGTCCCTAAGAGCTGACTGGGACTACTGTGATGGGGAAGAGGCTTAGCAGAGAACAAAGCCGGTAAGCGAGTGGAGCAACGGAGGCTGTCTCAGCGATATTCTGCCGTGCTGCCATAGCGAGGAGATACATTGCTGCATACTGTCACTGCCCACAGCTAACACATTAGTATCCGCCAAGCTACAAATGTGCCCAGGCAGGACTGGGGGAGAAAACCCCTTAACATCTGGAGGCCTTCTGCTCAAGAGAAGTGTTTGTGGTAACAGGCATTTGCTCTAAAGAAGGACGACTTCAAAACACCCACAAAGCCAAAAAACATATCCAAAAGAAAAGGAAAAAAAGAGTAATATTTAATAATTAAACAATATGTTGAATGTTTAAAGACTGAAATGTGGGGTTTTGTGGTCATTCATGTCATATTACTGTGGCATCAAAACTTGTGCACAGTCCCTGGGCTGCTCCATGCTTCCTGCGCTGCCCCAAATAAAGTGACTTTTGCTTTAGGTAAGATGGGCTTCTCTAGTAAAGGAAATAGGTGCCAGTGAGGAACATAAGCGTCTTACAGCTATTTCTACATATCTCATAGACTATTGTTGAGGGCAGGGGTGTGCTTCTCACAGAAGATTGCCATGCTAAGCTGAGCTGAGCAAAATAAACACCATTTTCTTACACAATCACGAAACGATGAACAAAGATGAAGAAAACAGGAAATACACGCTGGAAGAGAATTAAAAAGTGAAGGAAAAAAAAGAGACAAGCAAAAAGAAAGGAGCTTCTACTTGGAAGAAAGTTGCTAACTGCCCCTGGGTCACCTTGAACATTAAGTGAGCTCTGTGCAGCTCTGCTAAATCTTGTGTCATCCGGCTGTGAGCTCTGCCTGAATGCCACTGTTCACAGAAACCTGTGCAGCTCTGAAAGGAAAAGATCTTTCAGATGAAAGTGCCCTGTCCGCTGTTCCAACAGTGCTGACAGCCATCTTTGCAGTATCACTATGGTTGCGGAGAGCCTGCTCTGCTGCTCCTTCAGATGCTTTGCACCTTTTCCAAAGCCAAGCAGTGATACACTCAGTAAGGAAGCAGTAAAAGGTGGTAACAGGAAAGTAACATGATGACATAATCCATTAATAAAGTCAAACATCTCTTGGTGTCTTTTTCACTTTTCCACAGCCCAAGTCACCAGTGGAACAGCTGAGTATGGTGGGATTAGTCCTGTGTACACATTTTTGCCAAACTCCATCCAAAAGTCACTTTCCTCTAGTACCACAAGACATGTTTTCATGTATTAGGAAAAAAACACCTTACTGTTTATTAAAAAAGATATCTTTATAATAGACTAGGCAAGTCTAGTGTCCTCATGAACATAAATGCCTGTTACACACTGTCCAATTTAGCAAAGCCCCTGAGCTGAATGTCTGGTTGGAATACTGAGCAGAAAAAACACATGGTTGTAATCCATTTGTGCTGCTAACTTTTGTTTGTTTTTACAGAAAATCGCAGGATGTCTGAGGCTTTTGTCACTTTTCACCAACGGATTTGTATTAGCAACCTCCAGCTGTACTTTATGTAAAGCTTATGTAAGTCCCCTAGGATTAATTACCTTGCTCAGAGACCAATTTATTTAGCAATTAGGAAAAATTAGACAGTAGCTGGTGAGTTTGCTGTTTCTAAATGAAAGGCCAGAGTCCTTAGGTGTGTACCCAGGCTAAATGCTAGCTTTAGAAATTCATTATTTGAAAGTCTCTGAGCAAATACTTCACATTGCAATCTTTTTTGCATCATTTAGCCTCCAAATAACTTCCCTGTTCTGTTCAAACTGTGAGCATACTAATGAAAAAAAAGAAACAAACAGAAATGTAAATTCTTTATACCAGCTTCTCTGTCTCAGCCTGAATTTGTCAAACTGGTAACGCCGGTCTCAGGAAATGCTTTGTGATGCTGTGTTAAACGTGACACCATCAGGGAACCACCAATAAATGCTATCACGGAGAAACCTTATCCTATGCAGAAATCCAACACCAGAATCATGTGCTCTCTACAAATTAATGAGGACCTTGAAATACAACATAATAGAGTATAATCATCTGATAAGTGGATGTCACACAGGGGCTGTGGAGAAGGATCTCTTAGTCTCTGCAAGCCTCCCAGTGCCCCATCCCCAGGAAGTGGAGACCTGTAGACTGCAAAGCCCCTTGGCTGGGCAATGCTGGGACAACGAGAATGCCAGCTGTGCAATACGCTGCCTGGGCGGTACTGCAGCCTGGCTGCCCCAGGGAGCTGCTCTTTCAGCACATTTAAACCAGAAGTCACAAGAGACTATCGGTTTTGAAGGCAGCCTTTGAGACTTCTTACACAGCGTCTGCAGCTGGGAAATCCTCCTGCATATACCCCATGGCTTTAGAGTCCTTCCACTACTGCCCCAGTCCTTGTTGTAGTGGGGCAGGTTGCTAGGACAGTTACTGAGGCTCTAGACCCACCTTTTAACTTTCACTGTGCCCATCTGGCTGTAAGGGCAGCTCTCAGGACCAGTGGTTTCATTGTCTGTTCAATGACTTCTGTTCAACAACTACAAAGCACTGCCTTGCACAGCACACACAAATCACATCATTTTACAATATTACTAGTATTTTCTGAGAAACAGCTTGACACATATAGCACAATTACTTGGAGCACAGTAGATGAACAACTGCTGTACAGAAGCTACATACCAAGCATGAAGTGCAGATCTGGAGGGGCTGTAGTTATCAGGGCTTGAACGCCAACTTGCCTTGAGTCAATGGGGATAGACAGTTCTGCAGCAGCTGAGGTTTTGGCCTAAAGGAATATAAATATTTGGATATCATGTTGCTTGATTAACTCACTAGATAACTTAATGTAAGACAGCTGAACAAGGTCTTAAAGAGATCATGCATATTGCTAATGTAAAGCTTGCAAGAGCTCCCTTCAGTGTACTAGCTTTTCTTAAGGGACATTTAAGGTTTATGTGGCCTGTTGTAGAGAACTTTTAGAAGTGGTTCTGATGTGCACTGTAAGTTCACTTTGCCTCTCCCTATACTTACTATATTCACATTTTTTGTGACAGAATTCAACAAGTGCGCTGGATCTGATTTTCTCTTTGTTCATTTGGTTGCACCCTTTCAGGATACTAAAAATCCCTCAATGGCTTTTCACCTGCTACATCGACTGTTAAAAATAAAGCCAAGCAAAGTATTCGCTGTGAAATTCTTAATGCTGTCTGCTGACTCCAGATAATGGGGACTCTCTGGCTTTCCACAACTTTTCTGGAAGAAATGTCACATTAGCAGCCCTTTTACCCCAGACATATATCACATTAACAGATTTCTTTCCTTATCTCTTTCCAGAGATAAGTGCTTACAAGCTCATGAAAGCTGAGTCTTGTGAGTGTGCATTGTAAAGCACATATTTTAAGTTTTCTGCAAACCTACACTCTTCATGACCTTCCACAGCCTCCTACGGTCTCATCTGCTGAGAGCTATGTAACGTGTCCCAGCTACGCATCTTGGAAAATGTCAGCTAATGTGAATTAAGACTGGAGGTGTGGAAGAGGACAGGGGATCTGCTGTGCATCTCCTTTCCTTCTGGTGAATCGGGAAGCAAGAGAACTGCTCCCTGGGGTGTGAGTGCTTCAGAGCAGCGAGGAGGCAGCGTTAGCAAAGGACGCCAAGCCCTTAAGGATTCACTGCCACTTTTCTGCTCTGAGTAATTCCTTGAGAGGGCAAGGAAAGCTGTCAGGGGGCCCTCTGATTTATGGCTTTTGAATGTTTGACCCTCCTTCTGCAGGAGCTGCCACAGCGGCAGTGCTAAAGACAATAGCCGGGGAGAGATCCACGGAGAAAGGTCCCTGGGAAAGCAGTTCATCCTCCTTCCTCCTCCTCCTCTCCACTGGGAGGTTTGTTTTTTGCTTGTGTGTCACATCAGGTGCAGGTAGCTCCTGACCAGCACAGAAGAAACTCAAAGAGCAAGTGAAGACAGGGGTTTTACACCTTTCATGCTCAGATTTGGTAACAAAGCCGCTCCGCTGATTCGATGCATTCAGGGGGTTTAAAGCAGGAAAAAAAGAGGGCTGTGCTCTATTGTCTCCATGTTGCACTGCCTCTTTAAAATCAGAAATGCACGGACAGCTTCAAGGTGCCTCCCACTGAGAAAAGGCTTTAGATGCATGCACAGAGACAGCGGAGCCATCCTCCCCTGAGCTGCAGGGCAAACCTGCTTGGGAGAGAAAGGATCGTTCTGTGGAAGTCCTCTGGCTGCTTTCAGTGATCTTTTCTCTGCTCCGGTGACAGCAGCACATTTGCAGGGGAGAAACCTGGAGGCTATCCCCAGGGTGCCCGAGACCTCCAAGAAGACGGGAGCAACTGCAGGTACAGTTAGCAGATGGTGTTCTGTCAGTTTGCGGATGGTTGGGTTGCCTTTATTTATTTTAAAGCTCTCCCTCTCGGTATTTTGCAGGGAAACCTGTCTGAAACAGATACTGCACCTTGCTTTGACCAACATACAGATTTTGCATCCAAGTATTTATTTAGTATTTCTCTTAAACGAATGTTCACATTTCCAGGCATCTGTGGGGATGTCTTGTAAAGCAGCCAATTGTTTGAACTGTTCTTTAGTTTCAGGCTTTGGCTTTCTGTTATTCTGTTGTTCTGCAATTCTCAGTTTGAAAAGCAACGTGGAGACAGAAGTTGTACAAGGGAGTTTCTCTCAGAAATTTATCAAGTGTTGGTACATCAGAGGCTGAGGGTGGTTCAAGGAAAAGAAGGGGCCAACAGCTCCACTACGTAGATCGTCCTTTGTAGCCATGATGGACATTGTTCAGTAGCATTTGACATCATGAAGACCTACTGCCTTAAAGCAGAAAAAGTGGTATTGCCCCCTGATTCTCTTCTGGGGTGGGGTGGGACTGTCCTGACAGCTGGGAGTCTGGTGTGAGGATTCCCAGATGTGGCATGAGAAGATCCAAGAAGGTAGCCCTCTCAGCATTTTGATATAGAGACAAAATTAGGGACTAGATTAGATTCTTTTCCTCAGTGTTGAAAATAAATCAATTTTTAACATTTTGTGCAATTGGCAGTACAAAGAGGGGAGCCTGCTTCTCCCCATCTTCAAAAATTCAAGGCATTTTGTCTTGCTTAAGGCAGACTTTCCCTTTCACCTCAAGAGCCTGTTTCTGGAAGCACTCCCCCTGCGAACGTCAGATTTGCCTTCATGGCAAAGCCCTACAAACTGGTTCTTGGGACAAAATCTTGTCTATGCAAATTGGCAGCACTCCACTTGTTTGAGAGAAGAAATAATGGATTATGCTGGCTGAAAATTTGGTCACCCTACTCAGTTAATGGCTGCCAAAAGGAAAGTGCTAGCTTCACTATTTTCTTGGGTCTTGACAACTCTTAATTAAGAAATGTATTTAGAAGACAGGACATCAGGTCTCTTTTCATTCTCACTTACCGCATTGCTCTGACTGACACATCTAGAATAAAGCAAAAACTTTGTCCAAAGGGCACATCAGATACTTTTCAGAAAATTGAGGTGTCATCTCATTTTAGGTTTTTTACCTTGTACAGGGATAACAGCACTACGGGCTTGAAGGCTGGCGGAGGTTTAAACTGGATTTTACACTCCTCCTATACTGTTATTTCACTGTGTGCTGAAAACAAAATTGCATCATTGGTAAATAAGACTGCTGGCTATAACAACCAGTGCATTATGCAACTCAAGGGATTTTATGATAGCAGAAGCATCCTTTCACAGGGTATTTCCTCCCACTGTGCACAGCCAGCAATAGAGCTGTGGGGCAATAAGGTGGCTAGCACAGCATTTTTGCTGTAATTTCCTCAGGAAATGTTTTCCTCTATTTGTTCCCACAGAAGGAGACAAATGAAGCTGTTGCTCTATAATCTCATGGGGACAAAAACAAGGTGACTTACTGCTCAGAAGGAAACTTTGGATGAGATCTCTCGTCTGCCACCGTCGTGCTCTGCTACCCTGGATAATTCCAACACAAAACCAAGGGCGAGCCAAACTGTATGCATCAAAAGAAGATGGACATGGCCACGGAACAAGCTGAACATAACCCAAATGCTACCGTCAGCCTCAGCTTTGCTGCAATCTACAATCTCCATGATGGGGATTTAACCTCCTTGCAAAACATCTCCTTCCCTTTCAATTTCAGTTACAGCGATTACGACCTGCCACTGGACAGCGAAGACGACGTGACCAAAACCCGCACCTTCTTTGCAGCCAAGATTGTGATCGGGGTGGCTCTGGTTGGCATCATGCTGGTCTGTGGCATCGGCAACTTCATCTTCATTGCTGCTCTTGCCCGCTACAAGAAGCTGCGAAACCTCACCAATCTGCTGATTGCCAACCTGGCCATCTCAGACTTCATTGTAGCCATCGTGTGCTGCCCCTTCGAGATGGACTACTATGTGGTGCGGCAGCTATCCTGGGAGCACGGCCACGTCCTCTGTGCCTCTGTCAACTACCTACGGACCGTCTCCCTCTATGTTTCTACTAATGCTCTCCTGGCTATAGCTGTTGACAGGTAAGTGGGGTGCTATCACTGCACAAGGAGGTGGCCAGAGCTTCAGGGGTTGGTTGTCCAGATTTCTAGGTTTTTAAGACACTCAGCTGTTCTGTAGGATCTTATGTCAAGGTAAGTACTACACAGACCTGGGTATCCTGTTTCACAAAAATCTAATCACGTGAGGTCATGGCATTACCCGCAAGTGAAAAGAATGTTGATTTATTAAAACGATTTCTTTTTTTCATAAAAATACTCCTGATTCTTGAGTCTTGTAGAAGAGCATTTATGCTTCACTACAGGCCTACACACCTTTTATGAGTCTAACCTTTTCTATAAACAGTGAAGTAAATACTCTTCAGCAAGAGAAATAGTTGACTGGCTATACAGAATTTGACAGGTGAATTTCCAACAGGGTTATTGCCTTACAGGATACGTCTTTCTCCCTCTAAGGTATTTTTCCTAGTTTTTGTTTTGATGTGAGAGAGTGTAAAAGGCAAGACTTCTATCTAGCCTGTAAAATAGAGTTCTTATTCTCTGTCGTGCCCTACTGAGAAAACCCAACAATCATTAAATTAACCATTTGATAGTACCGAGGTCTTAGCTGGATGCTCCAACCCAGAAGTGGATGCTCGGTGAGTGCGGCCAGCACTCTCCTCTCCATTAAAATACTCTCCTCTCCTATTCTCCTTTCTCTTCACATGACTCTCTGAGGATGGCACAGTTACAAGCCAGGAGAGACCCACAGGTCATTTATGGCACCCATATTTATGACACTGTCCAGAAAATAATAAAATGCTATACCAACCCAATTTAGTAGAGATTTTCATACAGCCTTCGTAACGGGGTAAGCAGAACACGACAACATCCACCCGCTACACCACCTGCTTTATGCTGCCGTCCTGAGATACATCTATGCCTGCCTCTCGCTCCAGGAATTTTAACAACATAATTTAATTGTATTCTTTCTTATGACTCCTGTTCTCTTAGCCTTGTGCATCATGGACTCTGACGGACCCAGGCACTGAGGATCAGCTTCACGCTGACATTGTCTGACATGACTGACTCACAGAAAGCCAGAGAACTACAGAGCAAACTCTTTACAGAAAGGCCATCACAACAAGTCATCTTTTGTGTACAAACACTATATACATCTCTCTATACCCTCTGCATATACACACTGTATGATTTCTACCCTCCTTTCCCTTTTTTTCCCAATTTCTCTCATGTGCCATTTTATGCTCTAGTCTAGTGTTGCACAGATTTTGGTACCTGATCCAAAAGACAGCTCAGGAGCAGTTAACCCTGCTGAGGGTTGTACAGATACAGCTTCTGCATGGCTGATTCAGCTGTTATTGACCTCAACAAAACCCTGTGGAAAGACTCTGGGGAACTTCAGACGTGTTTTGCCTGGTGTGGGGCAAAGGACAATCAGCTTCTATGAAACAAATCCTTAAGAAGTGTCTAATAAAATAACCTTTGAACAGCAGCTGAGGACTCAGGGTTAAGATTCTAAACACTATCATGTATGCATTCCCATTTTCTATTATTTAACTTTTTCAGCTTATAAAAAAAGTTTTGGAAAGCTCTGCCAGTGCATCCCAGGCTGATGAAGTAACATGGGTCATTGAGCCCTTATGCCTGCTGAGAAATCAGAAGATTTCTAGCCTATATCCCCAGGCATCTTTAAAAACAACCCTGGACATGATTAATCACTGAAGTTTGTTGTAAGAACACACTGTTTTGGTCTCACTGCCCTTTTTTTTGTGAGCTTTTGACTTGGTAAACAGACAGAAACCTCGTTCATTTAACAATCAACCTTTCCACCCTGATTATGTCATGTGGGTCATTGACTTTGGTCTCTAAAAAGAACAAGGTCCTAACAAAAGTCTTCCCATGTTTAGATCATTTAAAAGGGCTCACCTGTATAGAGAGGGTAAGCCTGTCCCACAGGATTTCCTTCAGGTAGGGCTCTCTTTTGTCTTCCCAGGTGTCTATTCACATGAAACATAGGAATTTCACTTATTTCAAGGCACATCTACACTAGAAAATATGCAATGTGAAAGGAGAGGATCTGAAGAGCAAGGGTTTGTGCTAAGGGTCCAATGTCCATGATGTAAATATTTTGGGGCATTTAGTTTTAACTGGGTCCCCTGGACTGAACACCCATGAGCACTTGGTGTGTTTTATGTACAGTTTTGGAGCACATCTCCCAGAGCAGTTTCATCTGAACTCAGTTCATGTGCTCCAGGACCACTCTGCAGTAACAGCCCGAGTGTGGTAAGCAATGAAAATCAGGAAAATCCACCACAAAAGCTCTTTCCTGACTCTCTTGTAGAGCTTTACCCCATCTAGTCAAACGTTCTGCTGAGCAGATATGCATACTTCTGAATGCATACACATACATTATCCCACAACCTTGTTTCCACAGGACCCGATCTAAAAATTTCATTTACCAGCTCCACAATGAGAGGCTGAGTAATTCTGCTGTCCCTTGACATCTAGCCTGCACTATTCAGAGCGATGAACAATTCATCCGCTTCCAAAATCTGGCTGATGAAAAGCACCACTGACTTTCCATTTTCTTTTAGGATGAATATATCCCATGGACGCTATCTATGTATAGAATACATACAGATAGAAAAGCCTCTGAAAGAATGAGAAATTCCACTTTTTGAAACAATACTTTGTGTTAAATACAATTGTACTGGGAACTCAGAGTGTGTCTGATAAAAATCTCCTTTTAGCAGAAATCTCCTAATCTTTCTGGGACAGTGTACTCTAACATAAGCCCTTCTTACACCTATAGCTTCTTAAAAAATCAATCTCCCCAAACTCCAACCAGACAAAAAACACTAGAGTGAATGCCTTTTGGTCCTAGCCCCTTTTTAACTGACTCGAACGCAACTGATGGATCTTGCAAGTAATGTACTTCCATTTCTCCACACTTCTTTGTGAAACACCGCAGCGCTCCTTCAGCTTTACAGTCAGGAGTGCAAATACCTAACTCCAGTTCTATGGTTTGGCATATTACTTAACACAGCATATTTAAGACTAATTAGCAATAGTCACCTCCAGCAGACAAAACAAAAATTTGCATGGACAGAAAATGGATTCATAGTCCTTTGCTGGTGGCTCAAAAACATGCTCACCTGTAACCATTCATTAGCATCAGCTTTAGCTCTTTGCACCCCATGGAATAAGCAAGAAAATAAGAGAAACACTGTTAGGTATGTCTGACCCCTTGGTAAAAAAAGCATATTTAAATAGCTCTCTGCCTAGGGAAAACATTTTTCTGCTTCTACATGTTTGTTGTTTTACCTGCACCTGATTAGGTCTATATTAGCGCATGTTCCAAACTTTCACTTGAACATGTGCTGTCCAGCAAAGACTTTCTAGCTGCTGTATCACGGCCTGTTCACCTGCATATTGTGCTAGGTCCTGCAAACATATTTGTCAGTAATAGGAACATTCCCTATCTTTCTCCTCTTCCCATCTTTCTGTAACTCCCAGACATGTGATCCCTGTTAAAAAAGAAAAGTTTGTGATACAAAACTGCAACTTTTTCAGTTTGATCTTATTAACAGGTGGAAGTTTAAGACTGAGGTCTTAAAACCATCCTCAGACACCCTGACGTACGTGCAGATTTTCAGATTGCCAAGCACCCACTGTCCTAACAAACCCTTCAGCCACTCGCTCCAGAGTTTCTGCCTAGATTTAGGAACTCAGCTCTAGGCTGCTATTTCAGAAAATTTTCTTAACTCTCCTCACAGACAAATTTGTCAGGATCTCTCCCTTAGAATGACAGCAATTTCCTTCTGCCTGATTCTGTCCACTTGTATTTTGAAGTGTGTTCTGACTAATAGTGTTTTCAGACTTCATTTTGAATGTGTTTGTCTGTTCCAGGTATCTGGCTATTGTTCACCCACTGAAACCACGCATGAATTATCAAACAGCAACCTTCCTAATCGCCTTGGTCTGGATCGTCTCCATACTTGTAGCTATCCCATCTGCATACTTTGCTACTGAAACGGTGTTATTTGTCGTGAAAAACCAGGAGAAAATTTTCTGTGGTCAGATTTGGCCAGTTGACCAGCAGATGTACTACAAATCATACTTCCTCTTCATCTTTGGCATTGAATTTGTTGCACCTGTGATTACGATGACCTTGTGTTATGCCAGGATCTCTCGGGAGCTTTGGTTTAAAACCGTACCAGGATTTCAAACGGAACAGATCAGAAAGCGGCTTCGATGCAGAAGAAAAACTGTTATGGTACTGATGTGCATCCTAACTGCCTATGTTCTCTGCTGGGCACCTTTCTATGGCTTCACAATTGTCCGTGACTTTTTCCCCACCATCTTTGTGAAAGAGAAGCATTATCTTACTGCTTTTTACATAGTTGAATGCATCGCTATGAGTAACAGCATGATAAACACCATGTGTTTTGTAACCGTAAAAAATAACACCATGAAGTATTTCAAGAAGATCATGTTGCTCAGATGGAGATCAACGTACAATGGAAGCAAATCTAGCACAGATTTAGATCTGAGAACAAATGCAATGCCGGTCACAGAGGAGGTAGACTGCATAAAACTGAAATAAATTTTCCCAGTTCTAATCTCACATATTTTGGAGAGGAGGTGAAGAGGAAATGATGTCTCCTCAGAAGCTTCTCCCTTGTGTGTGGGAATACCCACCATTGGTGACAGCAGCCTACTATGCATTTCCACCAGGACTCTTTTCATGGACTGCTGTATAATCCCATAACTCAGACTGATGCTGTGCTTCAGTTCACCCATCTGTAAATTTGGGACGTAGACACTCATTTTAGGGTTGTTTAAAATTTAAGGTGAACAAAAAAGTCTATGAATGCATTAAAGCGTATTGCAGTGGTGGAAGAGTTGATTGCTAATCCTAGCAATGATGCCTCTCTGTTTCTTCTTAAGAGAAATCTCTTAACCCCTTTGAGCTTACCATTCGTACCGTTAAGCTATTCGGTGTCCTTTTTCCTTCTGCTCACAAGAGGAAGGAGGTCATAAAAGCCCATTTTGCATCATGTCACTCTTTATCCTCTCAGTTTACTGCTCATAATGAAGCTCCTTGAAGTCTACAGACACCAGCTTTCTATCGTCCAATGTGCAGCATGCTTTTATGAAAGGCACATTCTCTACAAAGCTAAATACTGCTTCACAGTCTAGTGAAAACCTCAAGTGTCTTCCTGTGACACCTTGTTTAAGAATATTTTATCAGCATTCCATTCTGTAGTTTTACGTAGAGTGTTACTCTGTTTATTAGGTGTTTGGCAATGGCACAGCTACATATTGAAGGGACCTGTTCTCTTCTCTCATTTCCAGGCACCCTCTGGCTGTCTGGTGCAGCCTTGAGTCACTGAGTCCTTCACAGAATCAAATCACAAAATCATAGAAGTGGGGAACAACTCCAGATTGTCTTGTCCACCCCTCTGCTCAAGCTGGGTCAGCTAGAACAGGTCCCCAGGATTGTGTCCAGCTGGGCTTTGACTGACTCCAGGGATGGAGACTCCACAGCCTCCCTGGACCACCCTGTGCCAGTGTTGAACAGCCTTCGCAGTAAAAAAACCTGTTTTCTTCTGTTCAGACAGAATTTCATGTAGTTCAACTTGGTTTTCAGTAGGACCCATTTGGTCTGTGTATACCTTTAAAATGAAGTACAACTAGGGCCGAAATAGCATAGAGATCGTGAGATGGTCTGTCCTTCTGCAGGCGATGGAGACAGACTCTAGGCTTCAGCAAGCCAGTCACTGGTTGAGTTGAGTAGCTCATTGTCTGGTCAAACATGAGGCAACAACTCAAGATGAATTCTGCGTTGCCTTCCCCAGTGCTGTTTTTACTATTCTGATTTTGTGCAACTTCAGGACGGTGTTTCTTAACTGATAATCGTGATACAGCAGGTGACAGTAGCAGTAATACCTACTCATTTAAACTACACATAAGATATCATGGACTTTCATGTATCGAAATCAAGACTTTTCTAGTGTGATGACAAATGCTTCCTGTTTTAAAGTATGTGGTACTGCCTACTTTTGGAGTAAATGGCTTTTGTAAATAATTTGTCTATTCGTGAATTTAAAGTGAGCAGCAAATCCTGCTAATAAAACAGTAAACATGGAGTCAATATCAGCATTGTGAATTATTTTTTATATTTTTCCCTTAGCCATAATTTTCCTATCCATGTGATTAATGTGAATTATCCCATTTCTGCTAAACTACTAGGCTGACCAGTTAAATTTAATGGCAAAAGGATACTGAAAACCATTAAAGTGCTCAAATCCTCTCATCATTAGTTGCTCTTAAAAAATACACATTGGAGAGAAACTCGTAACTTGCTCTGTTTGCCAAAGAAATTCAAAGGACCAGAGAGCTGCAGTATTTGATCATCCAGAGGCTTAATTTGACAATTTCTCCTGAAAACTCATGGTTTCTTCTGAAACTATGCACCCACGTTTATGTCCTGAAACTTGCTCTAGTTATCGGTGATTAGCTAGCAATACTACCTGTTATTAGAGTACCCTGATACTTCTTCCACCTGTTTTTCCTAGACTTTCCTTGGTGCAACAAAGCCAAACAACAACAATTTTCCACACCCGGAAATCCACCTCAGGCTGAGTTACTAAAAAAAAAAAAGCTCAACTCCCACCAAGAAATGTAGCACCAAGCAAAAACTGGGGGAAAGAATTGCTTTAAAGCTCTGGAAATCACTTTAAAAGCTCAGAGAGAGCTCTTCTGGTCCAGCCTGCCCAGCGTTCCCAGCCGTCACCGCACCCCTGTCCCCGTGAAGCATAGTAAAGCACCAGCTGCCACAGCTCCTGTTGCGGTTTTAGGTTTCAGGGTCGGCAGCATCGCTGTATTTTGACATTTTGAGGTCTTACCAGCAGCAAAGCAGTGTTTCAGCCTGAACCACTGGATGGGGCAAAAGAAAAAGCTGTGCTTTGCCCTTCGCTGTATCTGTTGTGCGCAGCATTCCCAGAAAGCGGTGGGTTCCCACTGAGGCAGGACAGCAGTTCCCTGTTCCCTGATCAGAGCAGCCAAACAGCCACGTTGCCCTTAGCCTGTGCTTGCACCAACTCCAGACATCCCAAAACTGGTCACAGACTTCACTTTGATGGACCGACATCTGCTCCTAAACTGAGCTCCACCAACCAGGGGGCCTAAGGCAGCGAGCCCAAGGGTCTTGCATGGGGCCAGAAACCCACAGAATTTAACAGATTCTTAAAGTCACTTTAAAACACCATTATAGCACAACAGTGTGCAGCAGAACAGGCCCTGACCCGAGCGGCTCCCTCGGAGCAGGCAGGCTACAGTCCACCCAGAGCAGTCGAGCGAGGGGGCCAGACCCCCCACTCCCTCCATAGCTTAAGCAAGTTGTGGAGGGAAAAAAGAACAGAAAGGCTTTTTTTGTAGCCACACAACTTAGGCTAGGGAGCATGGGTGTCAACGGGTGCTCCAGAGATGGGTGCTCCCTTGGCTCCCTGTCAGGTGGGGGCTACCCTGCTGTCTCCTGCATGGCCTCTCCCTGCAGAAACACTTTCTCACTGACATCGAATGCCAACATTTAGTGAGGGAATTGAATACGGACTGCACCTACCTGGAGCTCTGCTTGCAAGAGCCATGGTTAAACAGAGAAAGAAAAGCACAAGCTGGGAGGAAGGCAGCGTCTGTTGTGGAGGAGAAGCATAAGCCCTTACGCCCTGGAAGGCAGGGAGACCTCTGCAGCCACCAGCTGCCCACCATTAGCTCCAGTGGCACAGTAGCAATAAGGACTTCACCATGCAGGAGCTGTGGGATGTGTTACGGATGAGGAGCATGTGGAGGTGAGGCATCCTCCTAAGAGCTGTTAGCAGGGCTTAGGTAACCACGCAGTGAGTAAACCAGATGCTACCATGTCTCAGTTGTGGTTTCCTCCAATTTTTGTCGCCAAAAACAAAAATGTGGTGCAAGCACATCAGATTCCTGCTCCACTGTCCTCCTGTGGCACAGCTCCCGAAACCACAGGGTCACTTCCTTCTGCAGCAGCTTCGCCAGGGATAACTGAAGGTAAAATCCAGCCTCTGTGCCTTCACACTGGCTCTCTGAAAAAGCAAAAAACAGGTGTAACTGGAAACTAAAATGGTGACCCCAAACAGCTAGGAGAGGACTAAGAGAAGAAAAAGCAGCTATTCTCAGCAATGGGCACTGAGAAAGAAACGTATGTATTTTAATAAAGAAACAGCAGGAAAAGAAACTCCAATCATTGTCCCTCTACCAAAGGAAGATGACCTGCAAGACCCTAGGCCAGGCTGGGTCACAACAGCCAGGACATGAAGCTTCCGTGAGGACTGACTGACTGACTGACTGACTGACTGACTCAGGAGCTCAGACTTCACTTCGCTCCTTCATCTTTGAGCCTGGCAGCTTTGCTGTGGCAACAGCACCCTCCAGCTGCTGCCTCTGCAGCGCAGCATCACTTGCCTACTGCAGGGCCCTGAAAACTGCGCCAGCTCAGCCAGCTTGGGTGACAGGGCCATGCAGATATTCCTAGGATTCCCGTGCGTCCAACAAGTAGCAACAGATGGTTCAGCTTTCGGCACTTGGACATCTAGGCACTTACCCAACACTTCTGGTGTGTGCATTCCCACTTGCTCCCTGTGTCCGCAGGGTGCACCTCACTGGGTGCTTGGGCTACCTCCTTCCAAACGCTCGGTATCATCTGTGCTGACAAAAACCCACACCACTGAGCAGAAGAAAGCAGAATTGATACAGACAGACACTACTCCCTCAGATGCACCAGAGATCTTGTTCTCTCTTATGTTCTGTTAGGATCCTGGTCTGCAGACTCCACCCTAAGACGTGTTGCCAGGAAAAGCCCCCAAGCCATTGATGAGACAGGGATGACTGCAGCTTCCACAGTGACCTTCCTAATACCATCCAGCACAAGAGAAAGAGTGACAAAACCTGATATAAATCCACCAAAAGAATCATGAATTATAAGAACAAACACTGAGCATAAAGTTGCGCAAAGCACAAAGTCGCCTCCCACAAAACTAGGACTGTTTAAAACTGACAGAAGAGAAGACACAAAGATAGTAACATTTCCCAGAAAAAGACATCCTCAAGCTCAAATGACGATTGACGGACATAAAAACCATCATGTAAGTTCATCCCCCTGCTCATCTGCTGGTTCCAGAAGAAGAAATGTGGAAGGTAAAAAATGAAAAGCACACAGGAAGCGCGTTGAGGCACAGCAATAAAATCTGGGCATGTAGCACTCCAAAAAAGCCACATGCCTAAATGCTCCAAAAAAAACATGCATTGAAGTGCTCCAGGCAGCAGGGTGCTGAAGGGCTACTACAGGGCCACATACTGAAGTGCTCCAAAACAGCCAGGTGGTGAAGTATTGCTCCAGGGCAGTGCCGTTGAGTGCTCCAATGTACAACAGATATTGCAGAAATCAAGAAAAAAGCCATGAGGTGAAAAGCCCAAAAAAGACCCATGAGTTGAAGGCCTCCAAAAAAGCTAAATGGAGAAGCATTCCCAAAAAAAGCCAAACAGGGAAGCACTCACTTTGGGTATGAAAGGACTTCTCCATGCCTGGCTGGTGACAAGCTCCAAAAAATCCTCAGTGATGAAGAAAACAAAGAACCAGAGAGTGAACAACCCCCTAAAGAAGGGCAGTGAAGGACTCTACTGGGAGGGCACAATGAATGCTTCCAAGAAGAGCCAGCGGCACGGTGAAGGATCCAAGAAGACCC